CGCCGCCACGTCAGCGCGCGCGCGGCGGAAAGGCACGGCGCTTCCGGCGCCTCCGCACGGCGTCCCGCACGGCCCCGCTCGGCTCCCGCCGCGCCACGCGGGGTAGGGCAGGGAGGCACGGGGCGGCAGCCGCAGCCCGCGAGGCACCCCCAGTGGGCGGTGCGGAGCAGCCCCGGGCCACGCGCCATGGCCCCCCGGCGCGCCGAGCTGCGCGCACCCCGGAAGGAGAAGCGGCAGCGACAAGATGGCGGCGGCGGCGGAGGCGCCAGGGGCGCCGGTGTGCGTGCTGGTGCTGGGCATGGCGGGCTCCGGGAAAACCACGCTGGTGCAGGTGAGGGCCGGGGCGCGCCGGGGCGCCCCCCGCCCTGCCCCCGCGCGGCCCGACGCCTCTCGTGTCCCCGCAGCGGCTCGCGGCGCAGCTGCAGGCGCAGCGCTGCCCGCCCTACGTGATCAACCTGGACCCGGCCGTGAGGGAGCTGCCCTTCGCCGCCAACATCGGTGAGGCCGAGTGAGCCCGCGGCGCCCCGCCGCGTAGGGAGGCCGCGTGCGCTGCCGGCCCGCCGCGGTCCGGGTGCCGGCCTGGTTCCCCGGGCGGCAGCCGCCGTGCTGGGGTGCGGGAGCAGCCGAGCCGGAGCAGAAGGAGGGGCAGGGGAAGGAGCGCGGCGCCGGGGCCCTGGCAAGGCGCTGCCCGCGGGTTGCGCTGGCGGGCGCGGGGCCGCGGCCGAGCCGCGCGTGGGCCGCTGCTCCCCGCGTGGCGCTGCCTCTGGTGCTGCGGGTCGGGTCGCGGCGAAGGAGAGCTGCAGGGCGAGGAAAGGCCTCCTCGGTAAAGGTGTTGCCACGTTACCTATTCAAGCTGTTTGTGCTCCTCTCGCCAGATATCCGGGACACGGTGAAGTACAAAGAGGTCATGAAACAGTATCCTTTTTCTTTTTGTTTTAAACAAGATCTCCGAATTTTTGAATATGTTTAGATAAATAAATAGTTCATTGCTTCTGCGCTGTAGAATGAAGGGGAGGGTGTGCAATGGCACAGGAAAACCAACCTGATGAATCAGAGCTTGTTCTGGAGCAGTAAATAAAATATTTAATTTAATAAAATATTCTCTTCTTTGTTGAACTTTGAGATCCATATGTGTGCAAAGCATTTTAGATCTTTAGGTTAATCTTTGATTAGCTGAGTATCTTTACGAAGCTCGTGCCTGATCATTCTGTTTAAATTTGCGTAAAAACTAATTTGCTTAGGAAATTCCTTGATTATGTTTTGAAATATGTAATCTTACAAGTTTCAATGTATTCAGGACATTTCATACCTTTCAAAAAAAAAAAAAAAAAAGAAAAGCATAGCCAGTATGTCCAAATTTGACAAAGATTGCTTTGATATTTCTCTTTTTTTTTCTGAATGGTAATGCTTGGATAATGATGAGGGAAAGGCCTGGTGTATGCCCTTTTTCTTATTTTTCCTTATGTTATTGCATCACTTAAGAAACTTAATTATGACATTTAGTGACAGTTAGTGACATTTTTATTTTGCTGCAAGTTCCAACCTGCATTGTAAATAGTTCACTATTACCAGATTTGAAAAGGAAGTACTGTGAGGTCTGCTTTCCTAAAAAGCGTTCAGATACGGTCTGGGCCCAAATGGTGGAATAGTGACCTCTCTCAACCTTTTTGCTACAAGATTTGATCAGGTATGTGTTTGTTTCCATGTGATACTGTGCTACAGGTTTGTGGGAAACTAATTAATTTCTTGATGTGTACATTCAGAGAGTATTTTTTTTCTTTATAGACGTCTAATTTTTTATCTGTGTTCTCCATACTGAACAGTGTTTCCTACAAAGTAGCTAAATTCTATTTTTAAGGGAAATGGCAGCTTTCCATCTCTTTGGTTACTGTTTGGGTTTTTTTGGAGGGTGGGGTGTAAAACTTGGAAAATATGTGTACAAAACATTGACGCTTTAGTCTGAGTGCAACAGAACAGTTATGTTCAATAGATTTCTGTCATCTGTTATGTGAATGCTCTGATTCTGGAGTCAAGAAGCTCACTTCTGGGGATCAGTCAGTTATCCAGTATCCCTTGAAAAAAAACTCACTGTTCTCTGGAATTGTATTGTCCCCAGTGCTGGAAACCTTACGCAAGACATTGAAATATTGTACCGTAGGGAACAATGGTACATAGGGTAGGGAACAATTGCTTTTATTAAAGTTTCTTTACCCAGGTAGTAGAATATGGGCCAAATTAAGGCTATTCTGGCATATGCAGTGTCTAAACATTTTCACATCTTCCTTTGTAGGATRTTTCCACACAGTGAGAAGCTTAAGAGCTTTGATTTGCACATGTGTCTGTGTATGTTTATACTGATATGCTTTCTGTGTACAGAACAATTCTAAATATTTCTTGTTTAGAACCTAAATGCAAGATATACTGCTTCATTTTCTTTTCAATTAGGTCATGAAGTTTATTGAAAAAAGGCAAAATGCATCCAAGTGAGTACACTCTATGAAGTCTTACTGTTCTGGAACATGAAAACATGTTTCATGGAAAAAAACGTTGAGACTTAAAAAAAGATCCTTGCATGGTTTCCATTTTTTTTCTTTCAGTTTAAATTTTACCTTAAAAAGTACATAGAATTAGAAAAGATAAGCTGGATTCTTGCATAATATATGTAAGTTGAAGAAAGAAATGGCTGTTAGTGCCAGTTCTGCATTTTTTTTGTCTGGTATTTAACCTTCATTTTTCTCATTCACTGTTCAAATATGGAACAAATAATTCTTATCCTGAAGAGTTTATAATAATAGATATCCATCAATTTGATGCTTTTGACTTTAATAGTATCTGGAAGAGACTAATGTGTGCCATAGTTGCAGAGTATACACAGGAAATTCTCAGAGGAGTGTCCTCAAATCTGTTGCTGTTTGAGAGAAGTTTACCTGATTTTTAACAAGATGATCATGTGATCTGTCTTTCTCAAGCCTCTGGTAATCTGGTTATGCCTACACTTTGTACTTGACTTGACTTGACTTTTTTTTGTTGGGGATGATATTTTAACAGGTATGTTATTATTGATACACCGGGGCAAATAGAAGTATTCACCTGGTCAGCATCAGGAACTATAATAACTGAGGCACTGGTAAGATTATTCTACAGAATTTCACAGCAAGATTGTGTGAAGAAAGTGGCTGTTGAATACCTTTTACTTCTAACTAAAATAATCTCTTACTATGTGTTTCCAGGCTTCCTCTTTTCCATCAGTTGTTGTTTATGTGATGGATACCTCTCGCAGCACAAACCCTATCACCTTTATGTCCAACATGCTGTATGCCTGCAGGTAGGAATTGGTGAAAATCCATTTTTGATCGCTATGTCTATCATGTTTATTTTAGGGGGAATATCTGTTTGCATTTCATCTGAGGGGCTTTTTAAATGAGGAGAATCTCTCTCTGTCAATTCTTTGGAAAGTGGTTGAGAGGAGGAAGTGAAAATACTCTTCTAGTTCAAGAGAAGGATGTAGCCAGACTTTTGCAGTGTCTGTATCCTGTCTGTTTTCTGGCTCAAATGATGGATTTTATTATTCARTTGAAAACGAGGCACTCAAATTATTAACTGTATGAATTACAATGTCAGCTTCTTTTATAGAGTTTCTTCTTACATTTAATTATTTCGATTTTTGACTTTGTTAATTTTTTTTTTTTTTGCTTTCTTTGAGAAATGATTATACTAACCTAGGTCTCTACCGAAGAGAGGTGTAGCACTTTAAATTTCAATTTGTAATCTTTTTATTTACCAAATCTACAGACCTACATGTCTCCAAATAGATTTAAGATGACACACAGAGGTATTACTGTGTAGAACTGCTTACAGTTGTGAAACATTATGCTTTTCACATTCATGACACACATGCTTCTGTCACTTCTGTCACACATGCTTTCATAGTACTGTGTTGTCCCCTTCACACCTAACGAAGTATATACAGGTGGGGACAGCTCCTAACAAATGAAAACAAATCATGTGAATAAGAATAGCGTGACATTTGTATTTTACATGATAAATCACAAAATTTTATTTGGATTTGTTTTTTCATTTTGTTTTGAGCTTCAAGCCATTAAAATGAAGTATCCCTTGCTAGTGGACATAGTTGGAGTGTTGGAAATCTGGTGCAAGTTTATTCAGTAATCCATTGATCAGTCTACAAATGATAGTTTAAAGCCTTTAAAATAATAAAAAAAAAAAAGGCAAAAAAAAAAAAAGACAAAAAACTTGTTCTGAAATTCATGGAAAATACTAGTCAAACTCAACCATGCATGTAGAAGGAAATTTTGTATCTTACAGATGTGTGTTGATATTTTGTGGGGGTGTGGGGGGTGTGGGGAAGGAATTTTGGTCAACTTTAGTAAGCAGAATCTGGGTGAAAATTGCATTCTAACTCATTCAAAGAAAATTATTTTCTCCCGAAAGTCACAGATATGTCTGCCTTATGTGTACTTTTCTAATGAGATAAACATTAGATTTTTTTAAAGGCTTCTCTTTTCCTTCTAGTATCCTGTACAAAACAAAGCTACCTTTTATTGTTGTTATGAACAAGGTAAGTTGAACCTATGGTTTCTGGGTTTCAGTAGAACATTACTCTGTTTGTATTGCTTTGCAGTACTGTCTTCCATTAATCACGTTTTCTTGAAGAGAGGATGTGAGTGACCTAGAGGTGAAGCATTTGAAACAGTGAATATCCATGTCACAGATGTAGTTTTCCATGCTTTGAAGGTGACCACCTGTGACTAGATCGGAGTGGATGCTCTTCCTGTTATCCTCTTGTTCTTTTACATGTAGAACATTGTACCCCTGTCCAAAGGAACCCCCTACTGCTTCACCATACCTTTGACTGATGCTATGTTTTTCATATACGCTATTATTTAAATGCTGTATCCATGGATGAGTATCGTTTCCTGAGACCTTAACCCTGTGCTGTAAACAAACACAAATCTCCTAATGTAAGGTTAGGTTCATTACTGAATTTGTTCTTTTATTTATCTGCTGTCTCGGAACAATTGTCTTATTTGTCTTATCATTTTTACAGACAAAATGCAATAAAAGGTATTTGGTTCTGATCAATAGCACTTAGTGTGTCGCTGTCTTCCAGTAAACAGATCCTTATTAGGTTAGGGATACACCTCCATGTTTGTAAAGGCATGCATCTGTAGCCTTAAATACATGCTTTTGGCCTGGGAAGTCAAATTTGGATTTGAAGAGGAATAAAATTAATAGAATATGTAGAGTTTAATTTTGTTTACAGAATTGAATCAAGCTAACTGTAAATGGTTAGGCTTACGCCTTTTGGAAACTGTTTTCAACACTGTCACAGATCTCTTTGGTAAAGCTAGGCAGTACTTAACCTATTTTTCTCCTCATTACTGCATCTGAAAAACTAAAAGTATCAAGAGTTTTAGACACCCCTATATTGTGGTAGCACTGGSTCCATGTAAAATGATGGTACCATCTCATCAGTTTCCACCTTTGGTCTTGTATGAGACTATAATGCAATTATATAATGCGTTAGATTATCATTTCCTTAGATCAGAACACAGCTGACTATATAAAGTTCCTGTAGGCTGTTTCCCAATGTGGGTAGTGTCTGTCACTCACGTTTGAATAGTAATTGTTTTATCATTAATTAAGGATAAAATCAAGAAATGGTAATATCTTCTTTGCAGACTATTCTTCTTTTGTTTGGCCCCAACAGTTTTGGGACCAAAACTCTTTTATAGAGTATACAACTAGTGTATGCCCAGTTCCAGTGAAATTGAAGAAATTTTTGTAGCCAGACTTTCAGTTGTTTTTCCTTAAACTCACCTTCTTAAAAGCGGGATAGTGTTTTTGTTTGTTTGTTTGTTTGTTTGTTTAGTGTTTCTGTAGCTGATTTTGTAAAACAGAATGTGAAAACCTCCCTGGCCAAGGCTGAATGTTTTGTAAAGAGATAAGCATTTTGAAAGTAAGTTTAAAATGGTAACTGTATATTGCACTTAAGTTATTAAATGAGCAAAGAGTTTGTCATTATTGCCTCTGAAAAAGCTCTCTGCTTCTTTCAGACTGACATAATTGATCACAGTTTTGCAGTAGAATGGATGCAGGACTTTGAGACATTTCAGGATGCCCTGAATCAAGAGACATCCTATGTCAGTAATCTAACTCGTTCTATGAGTTTAGTGTTGGATGAGTTTTACAGTTCACTCAAGGTAATAATCTTCCCTTGTTTACTACCTCTCTTATAAGCATGGAAAAGCTGTTATGAACATGCCTCAGTTTTGGCGTATGTTTTTCTTTTGTAGGTGGTTGGTGTTTCTGCAGTGCTCGGCACAGGACTGGAAGAATTTTTTGTACARCTTTCTAAAGCTGTAGATGAGTATGAGAGGTAAGGTAGTACAAAATCAGTGAGTGTTTGCTTAAATTACTGATTCTCAATCATTTGATGAATTATCAAATGATTACTCATTTGATTTGAAGAACTGGCTACTGTTCACAGCCAGAGTAATCTAGGGTGTTTAATAAATTAAGATAAGAGTCAGCATAAAAACAAGCAGTTAAACTAGTCAATAGTTAATGTTTGAGCTAATGTCAGTTAAGCAAAGAAAGCAAATCTGAAGTCAGTTTTGTCCCCTTGATTCCATAGTCTAATCAAGCTTTGAATTGTCCYCAGAAAACAAACTGATCAATTAAGCAGACTGAATAGGTGTGCAACATGAAGGATTCTTTGGCAATTTGCTGCTTACTGGGTTCCTCCTCATGGGATACTGCACATGTATGAAACTGATGGAAAGCAAACCCGGTAACTTTTGTTGCAGAGAAGGCACCAAAGCATGCTGTGGATTATTATCAGATACTGTGCCTGCACAGTGATTACTTAATTAACAAGGGGGTATCCATTATCTCCTTATTCAATAAATAAGAATTTCACAGGTACTAGATGGTATAATATGGTGAAAATCTGTGTAAGATTTTCCTTTATGAGATCCAAATAAACTGTTTCTAGAGGTGTAGGTACTGCTAGAGAAAACCCTGTCTGATTGGAGGTGACGGCTATATCTGCTCTTTTATTATGGTAGTGAAATGTTTCCCTCTGGTTTAATTTCTTATCCAGCAAGACTGTATAGGAACTGTATAGGAAGGATTTGTTGTTTTAATTAAATATTTTTACTTATATCCTTTAGTTTCAAAATCCAAATTTGGGTAAAAGTGCCTTAAGATTTCTTGAAACCTCTCTCAAATCTAATTGTCTAAAAGAACCTTTTGGTTTGGGATTAACCTGGTTAATTAAAACTTTGAAGCTATCCTCTGCTTGCGGTCAAAATTTTCATGTGGCATTTAAAGGCAAGTCAGTAGTACTGTCAGAAGGACAGTACTTAATATAAAGAGTCTATTACTTTAGAGTGAATATATTGTGTGTGTTTATCTTTACAGGGAATATCGTCCCGAATATGAGCGTCTGAGGAAAACACTGGTAATTATTTCTACTGTTGTATGTTTGGACAGTGTATCTATTTAATCTCTAGAAATTCCTTCCAAGCTCAGCCATTCCGTGATTCTATCCTGGGATCACTTTCACACATACAGCTGCCTCTGTGGGTGTTGCGGAGGGTGGAGGGGTCTAACAGTTCATTAATCATATTCAGTATGGAAAAGCTGAAAAAGCTCTGTCCTAAAGCTTACCCTCTATCCCTTTTGTCCTTTAAACTTGGTGAATCATATCTTTTTTTTAAAAATCTTTATATATGTGTGTGTGTGTATATATATATTAATATATATAAAAAAAAGTCTGAAATGATTTGCTGAGAATAACACTCTATTTCCATACCATTTAAGTGTACTCTTTTGACTTGGATAAAGTGCAAAGATCAGTAGCTTTTACTAGTCTTTTAATAATTTCAGTTTGTAATGTTTCATAACTTTGGGGTTTTTTTTGTTTTTTTTTTCTCTCTGCTGTCATACGCTTTTCTTTCATCCTTCTTTAGTGGCACAGTGCATGTTTTCTAGCATTAGATTATACTAGATTAGAAGAGAGTTAGAGCCAAACATAATTGAAACACCAGAGACTTGAAAATTTTCCTATTATAGTTTTGAAAATCAGTTAAGCTTACATTCTTTAAGGAGTCCATTACAAAATGTCTTTGATACAAATAATTTACTGCAGAAACAATTTTTCTAAATCTTGATCACCTATTTTTGGTATATCTGTGTAGTAAATCTATCATATTTTAGCAAGCATGTGATTTCATGGAGGCATTTCTTAAGATTGAATATGTTTCTTTTTCACATCAAGGCACTTTCAGATACTGAAAGAAATGAAAAGAAAATGAAAAGAAAATGAAAGAAAGTGCTGTTTAAAGAAACTAGATGTTCTGTTCATTTTGGGTTCTGGCCATCCATGAGATGGTTCTCTGCAGGTACAGCTTCGTTGAGTTTGACTTTCTGATATTCCTGAAGTGTTGCTTGAAGTCCATCATCCTAGAGGTTGCTTTCCGTGGTTATCCAAAAGTTGACTAACAAAGTGTAGTATAAGACTTGTTTGATTCCTGCTTTTTGCCAAAAGGATAGGCTGTTAGTTGCAAATTATGTTTCACCGGTTTGTTAAATATGATCAAAATCCATATGTTTCTACCCACAGGAGAAAGCTCAAAGTAAACAAAAGAGAGAGCAGTTGGAACATTTGTGGAAGGACATGGGAACAGTGTGTGTGCAGAGCAACACACTTGCAGGTACCTTACTAAGATTAACTTTATGGGGAAAAGATCAACTTTACCTGGAAGTCCTGGTGGACACCATGACCATGAACTAGCACTTTGCCCCTGTGGCCAAGAAGGCCAATGGTATTCTGGGCTGTATTAAGAAGAGCAATGCGAGGAGGTCAACGAAGGTGATCCTCCCTCTCTACTCAGCCCTGGTGAGGCTGCATCTGGAGTCCGGTGTTCGGTTCCGGAGTCCCCAGGACGAGAGAGACATGGAGCTGCTGGAGCAGTCTGACATGGGGCTAAGGTGATGGAGGGACTGAAGCATCCCCTCTTTCAGGAAAAGCTGAGAGAGCTGGGCCTGTTCAGCATGGAGAGGGGAAGACTAAGTGGGGATCTTATCAGTGTATACAAATATCGTAAGGGAAGATGTCAAGAGAAGGGGGCCAGACTATATTCAGTGACAGGACAAGAAGCAATGGCCACAAACTGAAACATAGGAAGTACTGGCTGAATATTAAGGCAAAAGCTTTTTTTACTGTGATGGTGACGGAGCATTAGAAGAGGTTACCCAGAGAGGTTGCAGAGTCTCCCTCTCTGGAGATGTTCGAGAACTACCTGGATGTGATCCTGTTCAAAGTGGTCTAGGTGCTCTGCTTGAGCCGAGGGAGTGGACTAGATCTCCAGAGGTGCTTTCCAACCTCAAGCATTCTATGACTTTGTGAACTTAAGGGAAAACTTCTTTACTGTGAGGGAGACAGCACCAGAACAGATTGTCAGGGGTGATGTGAAGTCTCCATCCTTGGTGATGCTCAAAAGTTGTCTGAACAGGACCCCAGGCAATGTGCTCTTAGTGACCCTATTTGAGCAGAGGAGTTGAACTAGATGGTTTCTGGAGATCTATTCCACCCTCTAGAACATCTCTAGTACGAGAAGAGACTGAGTTGGGCCTGTTTTCTCTGGAGAAGAGAAGGCTGAGAGGGGATCTGATTAACACGTATAAGTACATGAAGGGGGAATGCAGGGAGGAAGGGGACAAGCTCTTCTCAGTGGTGGCCAATGAGAGGACAAGGGGCAATGGGTGTAAGTTGAAACACAGGAAGTTCCTTCTCCATATGAGGAAGAACTTCTTGACTATGAGGATGCTGGAGCCCTGGCACAGGCTACCCAGGGAGGCTGTGGAGTTTCCTTCTCTGGAGGCCTTCAAAACCCTCCTGGATGCCACCCTGAGCCACATGCTCTGGATGTCCCTGCTGGAGCAGGGGGCGTGGACTAGATGATCTCTAGAGGTCCCTTCCGACCTTGAACATTCTGTAATTCTCTACCATTTTGTGATGCTGTGGTACTGCAGAGTTTACTGAAGAGTTTGCTCATATAAAGCTTTTCTCTCTTCACAACAAAAGCATGAAAACAAGTTTGTGTTAGCGGTAAGGAGTGGTAGATTAACCCTATGGAATATGTGGACTTGGTCTCCTAGGACTGGCAGAGACATGATAGGAGGAGAGGAGGAAACCCTGGTGTGTAGATAAAGCGGTGGGCATACTAGAGGTAATAAAATATTTCAGGAAAGGTAAAGCAGTTCAGTTAGAACATGAGAAGGCTGTGCCGCTCACTGAGCTGCTGCCTTATATGAGGTTCAGTTAGAATAGGTATTAATTGCTGAGGTCATTATGTACAAATAGTAACTGAGAGGACATAAGGTAACCTTACTTGTTAGCATGACATCTTGGATATAGCTGTCTCTGTTCCTTTCAAGACTCTGATAATGCTTCTGCAATGGGTCCCTCTGATCTGATCCTGACACGAGGAACTCTTGATGAGGAAGATGAAGAAAAGGAGAGTGATACCGATGACATTGACCATGATGGTAAGGCTCTGTGGGATCTGATTTGATGCAAAAGCTTCTGGTCTGGGAATGCCATCTGTATTTTATTAACTGCATGGACTATGACAGCCTAGAAAACAAGCAAATATTCAGACATCTAAATATAGGTGTCTGAATCTGAAGCAGAAAATCAGCAAAGGACTAAGCCTCAATGCTTAGTCCATTGAGTTTACCTGCTAATCATTGCAAAAGTTCAGCTGAAAATTTTGTATTCACGTAATTATTTTTAATAGCAGACATATAACATGCATAAACCAGACAACTTATATAGTGCTTGAATCATGCAGTGGCCTATCAAGCTGATCAATACACATTCCATCATCTTTTTGCTCTTAGAGTTTGGACCCTGGTCCTCTTCTCTTTTCCTGTAACTCTTAGACTTGGAGCACTCTAAGACCTTTGTGTGTTCTCTTAGTTCTGTGAGTTCCACTCATTTTAGGACCATTTATTTCTTTCCCTATATAATGAAATAAAGATCAAATACACCTTTTGTGTTGCTCTGATTGAGCACATAGCCCAGTCCAGGCTTTCTTCTGGAATACAATCTGGATGATGTTTTTTTTTTGTCTCCCTCCCTTCTTTCTCACCACCCCCGTAGTTACTGAGCAGAGCCATGAAGAACCAGCCTTCAGAAATTTTATGGAAGAGACACGGATGAAGTACCAGAAAAGAAGCAACCAGGATGAATGAGACTCTCCAAAACAGAGGATTTGGAATCCCTTGTAGTGGAGTGAACAGTAAAGGAAGGACATAATTAACCTTACGCGACCATACATGAAGCCTAGATGTGTGAATAACTTCCTCTAATGTATTTATATCTTTCATCCTTCACCTGCTTATTCATCATGAGTTGAAGACCTCATATCCAACTGACTGCACGTTTGGCCATTTGTCACTGTGACTTCCTAAAGTCAGAAGAACYGACTAGCGCTTTTTTTTTGGTCCAGGCTCTTTAGATGCACTTACTGAGGTCTTACAGTTTTGTCAGAACTCAAAATCTCATCTAGAGGACTTAAGACGGATCTTCAAAAGTGCTGCCTTTTTCACCTCATGAAATGTCTCTTTCCTGAAAAACACTTGAGAGGCATGCATTTCTTTTCTGATAATGACCCAAAGAGAATCTTTTATACACCTCCCCAACACATACCCCTCCACACACATGCACACACATACGGATAGTTGTTCTCCCCATGTGTTTTTTTAATGAGATCTTTTTTAAAATGTGAGATCTTTATAGAGTAAATGAAGCTCGTCCTCTTCTCTAAGTGATTGAAAGAAAGCTAATCAAAGTATTTCATCCATTTTGTTTGATATTTTGCCTCGAATTAAAAATATTTTGTGTAATAACAAATCCTGAGTTGTTTGTAATCTGTGAGTTTTTTTTTTCCCCTATGCTTACAACCCATCCAGCCTGTGGATACTCTTAGGACCTCTTGATTCCTATTTTGGGTTGCCCCCAACTCCTCTATGTGCCTTCAGACCCTGTGTTTGCTTTGTGGTTTGCCATAAGCTTCTCTGCTTTGCTTTTTCCTGTGTCCCAGAGTTTTGTGGGTGTCTCTTGGTGTGCCCCAAGGCCCTCCTCTCACCTTTTGCTGATAGATCTGTTTTATCTATCATTGCAATGCCCTGAGAGCACAAGCAGTTGCTGAGGGCAGTTTCCTATCTGGGATCCTGATGGTGCCACCTGTGGGGGCACTGAAGCCGAGACTAATCCCAGGGGGCCAAAGGCTAGGGACTGGGCCTGTGCTCTGGCAGTTGGGAGAAGTTTTTGCTGGGGGAGAGAAAGGGAGAAAAAGAATGAGAAAGGAAAAAAGGCAAATCTGAAATGAAAGGCACTGCACATGGAGCGGCGACGCGCATGCGCGCTGCCTTCCGACAGCGTCGGCTGCGCTCGCGCTCTGCTTAGGGCGAGGGAACGGGCAGCCCCGGGGGGACGCGGCCTGGAGCGCTGCTGCCCGGCATGCCGGGAGCTGCAGTCTTCCGGGACTAGGCTTCCGGGCGGACAAACTGTTTTGCGCAGCATGCCGGGAGCCGGAGTCTTCCGGTATGGGATTTCTGGGAGCAGATGTCTTGCGCAGCATGCCGGGAGCTGTAGTCTTTCATGGGGGTTTCCGGGCGGCCATGTTGTATTCCGCAGAGCATGCGGGGAGCTGTAGTCTTTCGTGACAGGCTTTTCGGACCGCCATGTTGTATCCCGCAGAGCATGCGGGGAGCTGTAGTCTTCCCATCCCGGGTTCTGGGAGATCTTGCGGTGCCTTTTGAGGCACTAGCTGGGTGCAAGAAGATGCCTCTCTAGGCGGAAGCAAAGACAATCCCCTGGATTCCGGGAAGCTTTTAAAGTAATAAGCGGTTCTGCTTTTGTGCTGCGATCAGATACCGGCGCCTCAAAGGCCAGGGCTCCGCGCATGCGCCCTGCTGGCCACCCCGCGGCTCTGCCTGCCCCAGGCGCAGCCGCGCCTCGCCGGGTGGGCGCATGCGCACTGCTGCCCTCCCCTCGCTGCTGGCCTCCGCTGCGGGCAGGGGGCTGCTGCAGCCACGACCGGGGCGCGAGGGTCTGGYGAGCGCCTGCACGTGTCGCTACAGCAGCGCCAGAGGGGAAGAGGCAACGCGCATGCGCCCTGCGTGGGGCGGCGCTCCCTGCCGCCCTCCTGTGCCTGCGGTGGTGGTGGGGAGGAGCGGGGGGAAGCGCATGCGCCCTGCGCTCCGTCCGGCCGGCTGCTGCTGTCGCGTGTCCCCAGCTCAGCAGTGCAAGAGCGGGAGCGGGGCGCGCATGCGCACTGCACTCCGTCTGGCCGGCTGCGTCGCGTCTGGGACATGGCGTAGTGCCCGGGGAAGGGGCTGCGCACGCGCAGTGCGCTCCGTCTGGCCGGCTGCTGCCATCGCATGTGGCACATGGGGTGGTGCCCGGGAAATGCGGGCTGCGCACGCGCAGTGCGCTGTGGCGCGCTCGCTGCCGCCATCGCGTGTGGGCAGGAGGGTGCTGCAGTAGCGGGGGCTGCGCACGTGCGCAGTGCGCTCGGGGTGGGGGGGGGCCGTGTGGCGGGCGGCGCATGCGCCTGCGGTCGGCACGAGCGCGGCGGCGGCGAGAAGCGTGTGGGAAGGCTGCGGTGAGGGCCTTGGCGGTGGCCTCGGGTCGCGTCCTGCTGGCAGGGTTTGGACTAGGCTCGGGGCAGCGCAGCAGGAAGCACCTCTTGAGTGCGCTTAGCCTCCGGAGCGAGCTGAGCTCTGAGGGAGCGCACCAGTCAGGCTTGGGGTTAAGAGAGGCACAAAGTCTGCAGCTCCATAGGGAAGGAAACGTAGCGCTGTATCCAGCCCAGCTGCTCGTGGGATGCCTGTGAGCTTGGAGGCTGATGTAGGTGTGGTGGCCTCAGCCTCTGGAGTGACCTGAGGTTTGCCATTCGGGACCCATGTGGGTGGCCCTTTCCTTGGAGCCGCCTCTCGGATCCCCCTGTCCCGGCACGACGCAGCCGTTCTGGGCTCATCCTGCTGTGCACGGTGCTCCCGGAGCGCCCGAACAGCTACGGGCTGGCCAAGGGCTTCCTGTCCGCAGCGCCAGTGGCAAGGAGTTTGCTCAGCGGGAGGGTGGCGGATACAAAAGTACGTTTGCTCTAGCAGAGAAGGGGGCTTACGTAGATAGGAGCAACAGCTCCGTAGTCAAAAGGACTGTAATCAAAAGGACTAAAAAAAAAGTAACCACTTTGGCGTGGTAAGATTTTTTTTTTTTTTTTTTTTTTTTTTTTTTTTTTTTGGAAAGGAAATGCTTTTGGCAGAGGAAAGAAGTTTGGGGGAGAGGTGTAATTTCTCAGAGGATAAAAAGATTTAGAGGGAAAAATTTCAGAGGGAAACATTTGGGGGAAATTTCTTTTTGGAAGGACTTTTTTTGAGGGAATTTTTGATGTGGGAACAGGAAAATGTCTTGGGAGGAATTTTCTTGGGGCATGTTGAGAGAATTATTTTGGGGAGGGAAGTTATTTGGGGGAAGAATTTTGCTGGGGATTAGGCAAATATCTAAATGTGTGAGTTTGTGGAGTTTTTTTTTTTTTTTTTTTTTTTTTCCCTCCTCTGGCTTCACTGTTGTCAAAGAGAAGCCGATAACTATGGTTCTTCCTCTTCTGGGCCAGATAAAAGGAAAAGCTTTCTCATGGTTCTTTGTTGTAGTAGTAAGGTAGCATTAGGTTCTTGTTGGCGTGAGTGTCGAGGCAGTGAAATTAAGGAGGAGACCCAAATGTGCGATCTAATGAGCTGAGGGCTGGGGGGCAGAATTGCTGTGGTAARTAAGTAGATCCTATTTTCAATGTCAGGAATTCCTGGAAGAAGTTTCCTATCCTTGTCCTTGAATTTTGAGATCCTTTGCCTCAGACATTCTACTTAAGAAACGGGTAATGAAGCCCTTTTAAGTTTGGATCTCGTTCAGTGTTCTTCAGGTGTTTCCTTTAGTAGGTCAAAAGACAACTTGGAAAGACAAAGTAGAAAAAAAAATACCAATGCTTCCCTTTGCAAAGCTGGCACAAGCTGCGGTGTTTAAGGAACGATGTTAACGGTGTTAGTAATCTTAGCAGCTTGAGTCTTGCATTGGTGCCTTAGTACCTTGAGTACTAAATCCCATGTCTGTTCCTTACAGAGCTCCTCTCACCACCAGTAGATTCTGGTAGGAACCATCAAGGAGATTTCCTATAGAAAGGATCGGGGAAGACTACTTTGGGAATGGGGCCCAATTTGAGTTGCTTCTACTGATGCAAAAAGAAGTGCAGGTGGATGCCCTCAACTCAGTAGGGTCGGTCAAGCAAAGACAAGGAGAGAGCAGGTGAAAGACGGGCATGGCTCAGTGGGAGGTCAGGCCCCAACCCCTCGGCGGGTGGTTCTTGTGGTTCTGGAGTGTGCGGGGTAGGTCGGACCTCCCTTTGGAGTGGGCCAAAGAATTGGATGTGTTAATTTTGGAGAATTACTGGGTGAACGTCGTCTCCTTGTTCCTGTTAACATGATGTGTAAAGCGAGTGTGTGCTCTGGGAAGGGTTCCTGTTAGTGTATTGTGGAGAGGGGGAGACGCTTAATTTCCATGCTTCGCCCAGGCATCCAGGCTGGGGGAATTCTGTGCATTAAGAAACTCAGCTCAACACTTGATGCCCAGCATGGATTGCAGCGTTGCTGGCAGGCTGGACTTAATGCCTTAAACCAGCTGGGAGAGGCTGGTTTCAAGCAGGGTGTCTGAGCAGCATGGGCAGAGYAGGATGTYTGAGTGGYTSARTYGGGGGTTATTAACTTCCTCTTGAGTTGGGGGTTATTAACTCCATGTTTTCAGTGGAATGGGTGGGTTGGTGCCAGARRAGWGAGGATGTCTTTGCAGACCTGCATATTCTGAGCATCACGGGCTCTGGCTTTTTAGAATTTGTTTATGTGCTCCCATTTAGTGCTCTTCCTTTCTGCAAGAGCCTCTGATTTGACTATCAAGTTCGCTGACAATAGAGTCACCATGGTTGTATGCTCCTGTTCTCAGCAGCATATCCCTCTCTCTTACCAGGCGAGACAGAGAATCATGCAACTTCTCCTTTTATTTTGCTAGAATGAACACTGCCTATTTTACCAGCAGAACTCCCTCTGCCATCCTGTAGTTGCTTTCTTCCTCTTGCCCTTGTTCTTCTTGTTCTTCTCACTTGAGCCTGCTGTGGGTGAAATGGAAAGTGATATCAGAGGATATGCATAGTAAAAACTTGTGGTTATTTTCATACAAACTCCTGAAGGTCCTTATCTATAGGGTAGCTAATAAAATCAAGCATTTATTTTAAAAACCATCCCTGTACGAAACAAAAAAAAAGTTCTGCTACAAGAGATGTTTATAGAGTGGCTAGAATGAATGAGAAATGCCTCTTTTGTAAGGCGGAGGCTTTGCTTAGAATTAGAATATTCAACTAAACCAGGAAGCCTGGTGCATAAAAAGCAGAGTTCAGTGGCCTCGGACTGAGATTTTCTACAATGCAGGGCTGTTCCCTTTTAGAAACGGGCAATGTTGACCTAAGGGACGCTGCGGTGTATTCCTTTGCTGCACGGCGAGCCAATTCCCATGTGGATTGAACTCCATCCTGTCCCGTGTTGACGCAGGGGGTGGAGATCTCCGCGGTTCTCTCCTACCTGTTGGGCTCCTCTCTGGTGCCCTGCAGCTCCTGATGGTCTCTTTTCCCAGCTCCTTCAGCAGCCTCGTGTGCTGCAGCTCTTGTCGCCGCTTTCTACGACCATTGCAGGTGTTTGCTGCAGCATGGACAGAACGCGCTTGCCTCATTCATTGCTCCGTTTAACATGCTGCGAACTTAGGAAATAAGAGATTCTTTAGGAAAACAGAAGACAAGAGAAAAAACTAACCGCAGTTACCTGCTGTTGCAGGCAAAGCTCATCTCCGTCCAGCTGTTTGACTTGGGAGCTTTTTGTTGAATTCCTTCAACAGCGGAAAGGCAACCCGAGATGTTGCCTAACGATAAAGAAGTGTAACMTTAATATTTTAACAATAATAATCTGCATCTTGAGGTTTCCATTGCATTCGGAAGTGAGGAGGGGAAATTCTGAAGGGTATAAAAACCTGATTTTCACAGATTGCTTCTTGCCTTTTGTTGCAGCTTCTTGAGGTTGCCGCTGCTTTTATAGGACACGAGGCCGAGGCTGAGGGACCTGCTGACCAGCACCTGCACACCGATCATTGTAACAGGGGATTTTTTGGTGAGTAGAAGGATTTTCAAGGAACTTCTCTAAGCGAAAGTATAAAATGAAGGAAAAGTTACCTTGGGAAGAATTGCAACTGCCTGCATTGGCACAAGACCATTGGCTTGCAACGCGATGGTGTAAGAAAGCTCTGCTCTTCTCTTACTTGCCCTATCAACTGCATCAGAACAAACAAACAAGATCATCCCTGCAGGCCCTGACCTCTTGGCCCAAAGCTCTTAAGGAAGACCTCAAAMAAGAAGACAAGCACAAGAGCGGATTTCTCTGTCTTGGAAATGTTGAAAAGAAAGGAAAGAAAAAAGAGAGCGAGCGAGAACGGAACACAGAAATGCTGTTTTCCGTGCTCTTCCTCTTCTTGCTGTTTCATCTTTTTAGTCCTTCTCGCTCCATCCCCCTGTCTCTGACGGGCAGGGACTGACACCTGGCCCTCCTGCCTGCTCACGCCTGCTTATGCTTCAGAAATGCTCCCATCCTCGGCTTCTCATGGCTCTCAGAAATCTCAGGACTTGGAAGTTCTGAGTGAGTGCATGCATACACGTATTCTTCTCCGTGTTGTGCTTTCTGGGGTGGTGCCCTTTCAATCCCAGCAGCCAATGCTAGGAGGGCTGTGTGTCCTCAGGGAAGCGTTGAGTTCCTCCTCCTTGGAGGGAGAGACAGTTTTCGACTGGATCTATGCCTTGCTTCTACTGTCTGCTTATATCTTGTGCTTCTCTAACTTCACCTATGGAAATGAATCTTCAAAGAAAGTAGTGCTTCTTTCCCTTTTGTGGATGAGAGCGCGTTGATGATAACCCAATAGATAAGACTTGCCCAAAAGATAACATCTAGGGCAAGGGTAGAGGGAAAGAGTGAAACCCTTTGAGGCTACGTGAATCTGTTCCHTTTGAATGTCTTCCTTTTTGCTTTCTCCTAGGGCATCCATCCACTAACAACTCGAGAAGATGGAGGAGTCTGTGCAGGCAGGAGAAGTGACATAGGAGAGACGACAGAGGGTAAATGTAAATACAGCCCTCCACTACGTCCCAGGCATTCAGATGTACAGCCGCTCTGCCCTGCAGCCATTCTCGACCAAAGGTTATTTGTGAGAATGAGAATGCTCGTTCAACCCGTGGCCGCCAGACTTGCCCCTTGAGCTACAGAGGGATTTCAAAATGATACAGAATTTCAGAAGGATGACCTGCTGCCTTAGTGCAACCTTAGTGCTAATCTAACTTCATCCTTGGATGGGATTTCTTGGCAGGAATGCTTGCGCTTTATCTGTGCCGTGGCTGAAAGCAGTCATTTGTAGGCCAGAGGAGTTGTGCCATAACATTCTTTTAGATGACTTTGAGACCCTCTAGTCTGATCCAAAGCCCTTCCTGATGCTTTAGTTCTGCCCTGGAGCCCTGTGTTGATTCTCTCTGCCCTGGAGCTCTGTGTTGTGACCCACCCCGCTATGTCATTCCTATTGCGACCCCCCTGCTGTGTCATTCCCATTATGTGAGCCCCCCCACTGTGTCTTTCCCATTGCCACCCCTTCCAGCGTGTCATTCCCGTAAGGGCCAGAAGACAGTTTCTTGCTGAAGACTTGTAATAAACATGCTAAAGTAGAAAGATGTCAGAATACAAATGTAACAATGCCTGTGTCATCAACTGAATGCATGAATACACCCTGCGCATGTGTAGTGTTTTGCGGTGCCGTTAGTTGTAGAATCTGGCTTCTGCTATTCTGTACAGTTGTGCTGTCCTCTGGAAAGAGTAGTTAAGCACTGGAATGGGCTGCTCAGGGAAGAGGTGGAGTCCCTCTTGCTGGCASTGTTGAAGAAGGGTGGAGATGAGGCACTTAGGGCCGTGGTTTAGCAGGTATGGTGTTGAAGGGATGATGGTTGGACTCRATGATCTTGAAGGTCTTTTCCAAGCATCACAATTCTATGATTCTATGCTCCAGCCAGTAGTACTGAGTTAGAWGTTCACGGCTATCACTTGCTTTGTAGGTCAAGCAGAACTCTGACGCTTTGTCACCGAGTCTAGCTGGAGGCCTGTAGGTAGCAGTGTGCCCCGGGGGTCAGTCCTCAGTCCGGTCGTGTTCACTTTATTCATCAATGACCCGGATGAAGGGACGGAGTGCCCTCTCAGCAAGTTTGCTGATGATGCCAAACTGTAAGGTGTAGCTGCCAGCGCAGAGGGCTGCGCTGCCATCCACAGGGACCTGGACAGACCGGACAACTGGGTGGTGAGAAACCTTGTGAAATTCAACAGGGGCAAGTGCAAGGTGTTGCCCCTGGGGAGGAATAAGGCCATGCATCAGTACAGGCTGGGGCCAGRCCTTGTGGAGAGCAGCCCTGCAGAGAAGCACCCGGGTGTCATGGTGGACGACAAGTTGGCACCCTTGTGGCCAAGAAGACCAGTGGGATACAGGGGTGCCTCAAGAAGAGCGTCTCCAGCAGGTCGGGGGAGGGGACACCACCCCTCTGCTCAGCCCTCCCTCTCCGCGCATTGCCTAGCTCCGTGCTCAGTGCTGCCCTCCCTCACGTGCCCACAAATCAGTACTGCAGATGAATGGCACGCGGGCACCCTGCCTTCCCACCCGTCATCTGCTGCTCTTGCACCTCTAGAAAGCAGAAGTGCAAGCGAAGAGGGCAGGAATGTGCCCGTTTTGAGAGCTAGCCGAGCCTGGCACATGTCATAGAAAGTTCCTAGAGGCAGCAAACTAAGACTGGCAGGCAGCCCTGTTCTTGGAGGCACCCTTGCGGAGGCTACCGCCCTCAGAGCGGTTAAGAGTGATGAAAATGTACGTATTAACATGAAAGCACAGGTTCTGGGGACTGAAACTATGCCAGTTGTTAGACTGCTGTCTCTGTTTGAGAACAATAAAAACAGACCCGAACCCCGCAAGAGGATGCCAAAAAAATTGGTATTGCAATAGTCCGAAAAGGGGTACTGTAAGGGGGGGGGGGGGGGGCGCGCACGCGCAGAGCCGTCGGGAGCACTCGCTGCTGCCATCGCGTGTCCGATATTGGGTACTACAAGAGGGAGGGGGGAGCGCGCATGCGCAGAGCGGTCGGGAACGCTCGCTGACGATCCTGTGTGTCGGAAAGTCGACACTGCAACAGCAGAGGATGGGGAGCAAGGATTAATGTACACATCACTTTTACAGCGATGACTGCTGCCGCCACGTGTGAGAAAACAAGCCCTGTCTTTTGAGGTGACGGTGCGCATGCGCAGAGCGGCCGAGAGCCCTCGCTGCTGCCACCGCGTGTCCGAATGTCGGTACTGCAAGAGGGAGGGGAAGCGTGCATGCGCAGAGCGATGGGGAGCACTCGCTGACGATCCCGTGTGTCGGAAAGTCGGTACTGCAACGGTAGAGGATGGGGAGCAGGGATTAATGTACAGATCGCTTTTACAGCGCTGACTGCTCCGGCCACATGTGAGAAAATAAACACTATCTTTTGAGGGGACGGTGCGCATACGCAGAGCGGTCGAGAGCCCTCGCTGCTGCCACCGCGTGTCCTATAGTGGGTACTGCAAGAGGGAGGGGGGAGCGAGCATGAGCCTCCTCCCTCTCGCAGCCCCTCCCTGGGGCTCTGCGGTGCTTCCTGGCCTCCGGAGGGAGCGGCGCGGCCCCGCCCCCGGGAAGACGTCATGCAGCGCGGCTCCCCCGTCCTTTCGGGAACGGGAGTCTTCCGGGATCGCGCTGCTGGGCGTCATGTTGCCTTACGCTGCATTCCGGGAATTGTAGTCGTACGTGGGGGGACTTCCCGGCGGCCATGTTGTGCTGGTGCAGGGCATTCTGGGAGTTATAGTCTTCAGTCACGGAACTTCCTGGTGGCCATGTTGTACTCTACAGGTCATGCTGGGCGGTGTAGTCTGTTATGCAACTTCCGGGCAGCCATGTTGTAGTCTGCAGAGCATGCCGGGAGCTGTAGTCTTCTGTTACACGACTTCCAGGCGGCCATGTTGTGGTCTGCAGGACATGCCGGGAGCTGTAGTCTTTCATCACTCAATCTCCGGGCGGCCTTGTTCTAGTCTGCAGGGCATGCCTGGAGCTTCCCATCCCGGGTTCCGGACCTTGCGGTGCCTTTCGAGGTGGCAGCTGGGTTTGAAGAAGCCGTCTCCCTAGTCGAAAGAGAAGAAAATCTCATTGGATTCCAGGAAGCTCTTAAAGAAATACTCGCTCCTGCCCTGTCTTCTGAGGGGACGGTGCGCATGCGCAGAGCGGCCGAGAGCACTCGCTGCTGCCATCGCGTGTCCTAAAGCGAGTACTGCAAGAGGGAGGGGGAGCGCGCATGCGCAGAGCGGTCGGAAGCGCTCGCTGACGATCCCGTGTGTCGGAAAGTCGGTACTGCAACTGTAGAGGATGGGGAGCACGGATTAATGTACAGATCGCTTTTATAGCGATGACTGCTCCGGCCACATGTGAGAAAATAAACACTATCTTTTGAGGGGACGGTGCGCATACGCAGAGCGGTCGAGAGCCCTCGCTGCTGCCACCGCGTGTCCTATAGTGGGTATTGCAAGAGGGAGGGGGGAGCGCGCCTGCCCGGGCCGGAATGAGCGGCAGCTGTGGGAGGCGGGCACGCGCTGTGGCCGGTACAGCCGTTGAGGAAAGCTCGAGGTGGGGCTGCGCTGAGAGTCGRGTGCTGCTGCCGAGTACCAGCTGCCGGTGGGTCCGGCACCAGAGGAGGTGAGCGGGGCTGGGGAGCGCGCTTGTCGCTGGGATTCCTATTCCCTGAAAGATTTCTTACCTGTCCTTCTAATAAACCTCTTTGTATTTCCCTCATAAATTTCTTGGTCTCCCACTAGTAATTTTCTTCCTATTCCCCTAAAAATTCTATTTCCCTTCTGCTAATAAATCTCTTCCTCTCCCGCTCATAATTTTATTCTTATTCTCCCATTAAATCTCTTTCACTCCTGGTAATCCAGCTAGATTCCCCTGGAGATTATTATCGTGCTGTCCAGTTCTCTCTGCCCTGCAGAGCCCCAGAAACACCTTTGTTTTACTTTGGAGGGTTCTTTGAGTGCTTCCTTTTGTGCTCCTGCTCCGCTTGGGCCCTTTCACCTTGGTAGGACCCCTCTAGTCTCTTCAGAACCTCTTCTTGAGGCCTCAGTTCTGCTCCAGAGCCCTCTGTCCATTTTCTGGCCTTGTTAGCACCTCGGTGGTCTCCTCGTGCATGTCCTTTGCCTGGAAATACAGAGCTAGTACCCGCCTGGGGAGCTACTAATTCAATTCTGCCCACTCCCTCCCTCCCTCCCATGCAAATTTGCTCTAGGTTGCTGTTGCGAGGGTGGTGTTGTGATCGGTGGGTCCCCTGATTAATTTTTGCTTTGAGTGTGCAGGTGTGGAGGAATGTGACAAGCAGCTTGGTCGCATCTGGGGCAAGCACAGCAAGGTGAGCGTCGCTCTATGAGAGGAACTGGAGCTTAGCGTAGGGCAAGCGTCTTGCTGACACTGTCCCCTTTGCCCACCGCTGTTCTGCTTTTACAGGTGCTGTGGCAGCAGCTTCCCCGTGGTGACAGAGCCCGGCAGTTGGCAGGGGCAAGTAGAGCAGGTAAAGGCGTGGGAGCGAACACTCCATGGGAATGGACTGCGGTCTTGCTCACATCACTGCAGCATGTGATTTCCCTGTCTTTACAGAATCTTTCAGCGAGTTGATCAGAGGAGCAGTTGGAGCGCTGACATAACTCTCAGTGAGTGAGAGGAGAGGCTGTTGTGTTCGTAAGTTCTTGCACATYGGGCGCTGTTGAGCTGTCTCTCAGTAATATCTTGCCTTCTGCTCTGTTCAGGTCACACTGGCGCTTTTCCCAGTGACATCCGAGTCCTTCTGGTGTGCGGATTGTGTTGCATCTTGTGGGCTTGGTGAGTGAGGCCTGGCAAGGGGCAGGGTGCCAGCAAGCAGAGTGTCTGTGGCGCTTCGGAGGTGACTCTTTTGGCGACTGAGGCTGTAGCTGACTGGCACCGAGGTGACTGCTTGCCTCTTGTTTTGGCAGGTGAGAAAGACCATCAATAGCTCGAAGAGAGTGCGGCTGCCTTTGAAGATGCACTGTGAAGAGGGATGGAGACCTAGAGTACTGCAGATGTTTAGCTGATGGCAGAGCATTTTGGGGGCGTCCTGACCGTGCATGCTGCCGTTGAGGGAGGCGTCTTCTGGATGAGCACAGTGTGAGAGGCAGAGGCAGCACAGCGCACATGTTGGAAAATGAGAGCAGACAGCCCCCGCCTGTCTGTGGTTTGTATTGCAGCTTCTCTTTCCTTTGCTCAGGTCCTAGCACTGCTCGTGTTGTTTGTGCTCCCAGAGCACATCCTGCACTGTGCAACACTAGCACAGGAGGCATCTGCTGTCT